GCGGAGGATAGGTGTAATGTGGGCGAACCGCGGTGCGCCCACTATCACTCGCGCGGCTGCATTCTGTCACAGACCTTCATCACAGACCTTCTGCACATGCCCATAGCGTGTGCTCCCGCTACCAAACTGGTAGTAAAAATAATAAGATACCATTACTGTTCTGATGGTGCTATAAAAATCAGGGGCTGAAGCACCAAGTACTGGAATTGGGTTTTGTGCAATATAATAGTTTATGTAGCTACTACACTCGGCTTGTTTAGCCTCACAAAACTTTAAAAACTTAGAAATTTATAATCTTATCTCATTATATGATATAAATAATTACTGTACATATGGCTAGAAAAGCTTGGCCAGCCATGAAGTATTGTTTTTACTGTTGCATTTACGGAAAAACATGATTTTCTTTTGTCTGACACAATTATTTGGGCTTCCTGGTTATAAACTGAATTTCTAATTCTTTTTTGCAGTAGGTTCAGAGATGAGTGAATGTAATTTATGGCTATACAGTCAGAAACAACAATAAAAAAGCAAGACAGGTTTAGAAACTATTTCTGTCTATTTCTATGTCTCATTTATAGGAATGTGGATGGCAAATACAAGAAAAAGGGTTTTGCAGTCTTTGTCCATAGATCCATAAACACACATGTTTAAACAAATAGACCTTTTTCTGTAAACAACTCTTCTTTTTTAAAAGGTAATAATCCTGCCCTATCTTTCTAGGTTCAGTATATGACAGCAATGTCAAACAGTAAGGGGTTTATAATAAGCAAAATAACATTTGTTAACATAGTCCCAGACAAAAAGGGTTAAAACAAAGGGGAGAGTTGAGAAGATTGTACTCTGAGGCTGAACATAGATGGGAGCTTCCCATCTTCCCAGTTTAGAAATCTAGATAAAAGGAAGCAGAGGTCTCAACTCCACAAGGATTCAACTTCAATAGAAACAGGTGAATCTATCTAGGCAGGAAATCAGCAATAGGTTAATTGTTTTCTGTATGTTGGGTGTTAAGTCTACTTTTATTTTTGTACAAGCTAGAAAAATGGGGTTTATAGTGACCTTGAATCATAGCTCAAGCAAGTGGAAGAAGATTTTTTTTATAATCTCCTTGCAATCACTAAAATTAATTTGGAATGCTCTATCTCATCTCTTTATAGATCAGAATAGCACCATCGTTTGATCTACCCAGAACTTTGTATTTTCTTTTGAAATTCTTAATCTTCAATTCCTTTTCAGTTGCTGTTTTACATGATCACTTACTTAAATTACCTCTTCCAATATTGAAAGCTTTTTTTACTATTTAAGGTTTTAAAAAATGTTTACACTAGGTTTTTTAAAAATAATTTGATTTGGTTTATTATTTCGGAACTTAAGTTACCTTAAGGTGGCAGAAAAGCTGAATTATCTAGTTACATGCCTTTATGTTACAGATTATGATCTCATTTTTTTCCATTTTTTTTGTGTTTG